TCCCAGGGCTGGGCCCACCATCCAGCCCTGGCTGTCGGGCCCACACAGGGAAGAGGAGGGATGGGGTGCATGCAATCTGGGACAGGCAGAGTCACTGCTGGGCCCAGGGCTGGGCCCCATACCTGGGCCTGGCTCTGCTGTGGGCTCAGCCAGCATGGGGCCCACACCCTGAAGGGTCCTGTGGCCGGCAAGAGCACTCTGACCTGGCCCAACCCGGGTGGATGCCAGAATAACCTATGCAGATCCTGGTGGAACCCTGCCTGACCCTGGCCTGGCACTGTCTGACTGAGGGCTGACACTGTCAGACCTTGAGTTGACCCTAGCTGACCCTGACTGACCTTGAGCTGACTGACCTGACCCATTGATGCTTTGCCTAATCCTGGCTGACCCTGGGCTTTCTCAGAGCTGACCCTGGTTGAACCTGGCTGATCCTGACTGACCCTAGGCTGATCCTAGTTATCCTGGCTGATCCTTGGCTGATATTGGCTATTCAGATAGCCAGGCTATACCCTGTTATCAGGCTGTAGCCTGTTATCAGATAACAGGCTATCCCCCAGCTGACCTTGGGAAGACCCTGGCTGATCCTAGGCCCATGGAGGCTGGTGGGGGAGGGGACAGGGCCCTCTCCAGGCCTTGGGGAACTCACTGACCCCTCAGGACTCCCCTGGGCTTTGGCCCCGGGCCCAGGCCCCAGGCCCCAGGCCCACCTGGCCAGGTCTCGGTTTTGGGGCCCGATTCTCAGAACAGCAGCCTGGCTGGGACACCTGGGTTGGGCTGTGCTCACAATGACTCAGTAGCCACCTAGAGCTATTTTGAATGTTTCAGCAGGTGACGAGGTGCAGGAGGCTTGAGAAGAAAGAGAAAAACAAGAGGACACAAACACCACTGCCTCCCCCATCCCCCCTCCCCTGCACCCAAGCCCTCCCCCGCTGGTAACTGTGCCTGGCGACCCTTGTGGACGGGGTTCTGGTTCCTGTACCCTGGACCCTGGGCCAATTTTCTTTCCATCAAGGTGGCCTGGCATCTACAAACACCTTTGGATCCTGGAAGGGGCATCACCTTATTTCCATTCTGTGTTCAGACCAAGAGGATCTCCAGGAGCCTCAGGGTCCCTGGGAGGTTCTTCTTTCTCCATGTGAGTCACTTTTTATAGAGTTCAAGATCCAGGCCCCACTGGGTGAGATTAGGGCTCAGGATCCAAGATCAAGTGATGAAGCCAAAGAAGAGGGGCTTCCTGATGAATGGACAGAATACGAGGGCTAGAACCCAGTGGTGAGGCCCAGGACCCGGTGAGGGTCTGGGCCCAGCGACGAGGACCAGGACTCAGTGATCACGACCAGGGCCCAGTGATCAGGACCAGGGCCCAGTGATCAGGACCAGGGCCCAGTGATCAGGACCAGGGCCCAGGGATGAGGACCAGGGCCCAGTGATGAGGACCAGGACTCAGTGATCAGGACCAGGGCCCAGTGATCAGGACCAGGACTCAGTGATCAGGACCAGGACTCAGTGATCAGGGCCAGGGCCCAGTGATGAGGGCCAGGACTCAGTGATCAGGACCAGGGCCCAGTGATCATGCCCAGGGCCCAGTGATCAGAAACACTGCCCAGTGATCAGGACCAGGGCCCAGTGATGAGGACCAGGACTCAGTGATCAGGGCCAGGGCCCAGTGATGAGGGCCAGGACTCAGTGATCAGGACCAGGGCCCAGTGATCATGCCCAGGGCCCAGTGATCAGAAACACTGCCCAGTGATCAGGACCAGGGCCCAGTGATGAGGACCAGGACTCAGTGATCAGGGCCAGGGCCCAGTGATGAGGGCCAGGACTCAGTGATCAGGACCAGGGCCCAGTGATCAGGACCAGGACTCAGTGATGAGGGCCAGGGCCCAGTGATCAGGACCAGGGCCCAGTGATGAGGGCCAGGGCCCAGTGATGAGGACCAGGACCCAGTGATCAGGACCAGGGCCCAGTGATCAGGATCAGGGCCCAGTGATCAGGACCAAGGCCCAGTGATCAGAACCAGGGCCCAGTGATGAGGGCCAGGACTCAGTGATCAGGACCAAGGCCCAGTGATCAGAACCAGGGCCCAGTGATGAGGGCCAGGACTCAGTGATCAGGACCAGGGCCCAGTGATGAGGGCCAGGGCCCAGTGATCATGACCAGGGCCCAGTGATGAGGGCCAGGGCCCAGTGATGAGGGCCAGGACTCAGTGATCAGAAACACTGCCCAGTGATCAGGACCAAGGCCCAGTGATCAGGACCAGGGCCCAGTGATGAGGGCCAGGGCCCAGTGATGAGGGCCAGGACTCAGTGATCAGGACCAGGGCCCAGTGATCAGAAACACTGCCCAGTGATCAGGACCAGGGCCCAGTGATGAGGGCCAGGGCCCAGTGATGAGGGCCAGGACTCAGTGATCAGGACCAGGGCCCAGTGATCAGGACCAGGGCCCAGTGATGAGGGCCAGGGCCCAGTGATGAGGGCCAGGACTCAGTGATCAGGACCAGGGCCCAGTGATGAGGGCCAGGGCCCAGTGATGAGGGCCAGGACTCAGTGATCAGGACCAGGGCCCAGTGATCAGGACCAGGGCCCAGTGATGAGGGCCAGGGCCCAGTGATGAGGGCCAGGACTCAGTGATGAGGGCCAGGACTCAGTGATCAGGACCAGGGCCCAGTGATCAGAAACACTGCCCAGTGATCAGGACCAGGGCCCAGTGATGAGGACCAGGACTCAGTGATCAGGGCCAGGGCCCAGTGATGAGGGCCAGGACTCAGTGATCAGGACCAGGGCCCAGTGATCATGCCCAGGGCCCAGTGATCAGAAACACTGCCCAGTGATCAGGACCAGGGCCCAGTGATGAGGACCAGGACTCAGTGATCAGGGCCAGGGCCCAGTGATGAGGGCCAGGACTCAGTGATCAGGACCAGGGCCCAGTGATCAGGACCAGGACTCAGTGATGAGGGCCAGGGCCCAGTGATCAGGACCAGGGCCCAGTGATGAGGGCCAGGGCCCAGTGATGAGGACCAGGACCCAGTGATCAGGACCAGGGCCCAGTGATCAGGATCAGGGCCCAGTGATCAGGACCAAGGCCCAGTGATCAGAACCAGGGCCCAGTGATGAGGGCCAGGACTCAGTGATCAGGACCAAGGCCCAGTGATCAGAACCAGGGCCCAGTGATGAGGGCCAGGACTCAGTGATCAGGACCAGGGCCCAGTGATGAGGGCCAGGGCCCAGTGATCATGACCAGGGCCCAGTGATGAGGGCCAGGGCCCAGTGATGAGGGCCAGGACTCAGTGATCAGAAACACTGCCCAGTGATCAGGACCAAGGCCCAGTGATCAGGACCAGGGCCCAGTGATGAGGGCCAGGGCCCAGTGATGAGGGCCAGGACTCAGTGATCAGGACCAGGGCCCAGTGATCAGAAACACTGCCCAGTGATCAGGACCAGGGCCCAGTGATGAGGGCCAGGGCCCAGTGATGAGGGCCAGGACTCAGTGATCAGGACCAGGGCCCAGTGATCAGGACCAGGGCCCAGTGATGAGGGCCAGGGCCCAGTGATGAGGGCCAGGACTCAGTGATCAGGACCAGGGCCCAGTGATGAGGGCCAGGGCCCAGTGATGAGGGCCAGGACTCAGTGATCAGGACCAGGGCCCAGTGATCAGGACCAGGGCCCAGTGATGAGGGCCAGGGCCCAGTGATGAGGGCCAGGACTCAGTGATGAGGGCCAGGACTCAGTGATCAGGACCAGGGCCCAGTGATCAGAAACACTGCCCAGTGATCAGGACCAGGGCCCAGTGATGAGGGCCAGGACTCAGTGATCAGGACCAGGGCCCAGTGATGAGGACCAGGACTCAGTGATCAGGGCCAGGGCCCAGTGATGAGGGCCAGGACTCAGTGATCAGAAACACTGCCCAGTGATCAGGACCAGGGCCCAGTGATGAGGGCCAGGGCCCAGTGATGAGGGCCAGGACTCAGTGATCAGGACCAGGGCCCAGTGATCAGGACCAGGACTCAGTGATCAGGACCAGGGCCCAGTGATCAGGACCAGTGATCAGGACCAAGGCCCAGTGATCAGAACCAGGGCCCAGTGATGAGGGCCAGGACTCAGTGATCAGGACCAAGGCCCAGTGATCAGAACCAGGGCCCAGTGATGAGGGCCAGGACTCAGTGATCAGGACCAGGGCCCAGTGATCAGGACCAGGGCCCAGTGATGAGGGCCAGGACTCAGTGATCAGGACCAGGGCCCAGTGATCAGGACCAGGGCCCAGTGATGAGGGCCAGGGCCCAGTGATCAGAACTAGAATTCAGTAATCAGGACCAGGACTCAGTGATTAGACCACGAACTTGAGTGCAGTTATTGTAGAGGTTTTACTTTATACTCTGATGAAGCCTAGCTCTAGTCTTTGCCTAATATTTTGGGGGCAGGATCAGCTCATGATTCTAGGCAAGGGAACCCTGTACATGCACCTGAGACCCTCCTTCATCCATGAGGCAGGTGTTTGTGTGTCCAGAGCCTCTCCTTCCCCTCCCCTCATTCAGAGTCTGAAAACTTCTGCCTGTGGGATAATTTATTGCACCAGAAAGGAAGGCCTTTGTGGGTGGGCACGTGACTTCTGACCGGGGCTGAAGTCTGTCATCCAGCTGGGCTCTCTGGAGGCTCCTCAAGTTTCCTTCCTGCCAACACAAGAGGGGTCAGGTCCTGGTGGGCTCCTGAGGTGGGCAGGGTCCTTGCCAAGGCCCTGTCCCCACCATGGCCTGCCTGCTGTACATTGGCTGAGTCCAGGGATGGCCACACCAGGGAAGCAGATGCCCTGCCCTGGAGGGGCACACAGGGTCTGCCCCAGCCTGCACAAGTCCTCTGTCTCTGCGGGCACCATCCCCCTCTGAGGCCAGACCCCCACTGGGGAGGGACAATCAAGCTCTGGTGAGGCTGGGTACTCCCCCCTCAGCCCACGGCTCTGCCTCCTTGCCCACCTGCCTGACTGGCTCCTGCTCAGTACTGGGGGACCTCCCGGCTGTCCGGTGTGGCCCGGATGCTCGTCACAGTCAGTGCTGTGCTATAGAAGAGGCTCAGCAGAAAGAGGGTGAGCAGGGTGACGGTTGTGGGCCACAGGCTGGCCTCTGGGCTGTCCTCCTCGGGGCCATCCTGCATCAGGTCCAGCACCAACCAGGGCTGAGGTTCTGTAAGACACAGAGGGTTTGCCAGGCCTGGGCCTGCGTGGGCGGGGCCAGGCCAGTGCCCTCCCTTGCCCAGGAGGGGACACCGGCAGCCAGTGCCAGTCTCAGGACTGAGGCTGCAGACGCCCAGGGAAGGGGCCAGGACCCTGCAGCTCGGAAGACGCCCACAGGACTCCTGCCTCTGGGGTCTCAGGACACCTTAGGGAGAGACGTGGCAGGGCAGGAGTGGGCATGGCTCTGCTGCTCCAAGGACAGACAAAGGCCACGGTCTCCTGACTCCCAGCCCTGCCTGTTTCCTCAGCAAGCCCTTGTTCTGGACCTTCTTGGCCTGGGCCCTGGGTGGGGCCAGAGGAGACCGGCCAAGCCCACCCTCAGGGTGCTCCAACCTGAGACGTGGGTCTTGGTCTGTCACTCAGTGTGCCAAGGGCTGGATGGACAAGACCAAGGGGCTCTGTAGGTCTCCCAGGAAATGGCTGATAAAGCTACAAGGAACACAAGGAGGGCCCAGGTGAAAGCCCCAGCTCGGGGTCCCAGGCCTAGGCCTTGCATGTTAAGTGGGATCTGAACCTGCTTGTCATAGTTAACTCATCCAGTCATCCATCCATTCATCCATCCACCTCTGCATCCATCCACTACCTGCCCATCCATCACCTGTCAACTCTTTCACCCTCCCACCTGTCCATCCATCCACTTGCCCATCCGCCTGTTTGTCCATTTATCCACCTATCCATCCAACCTCCATACATCCAACTCTCTGTCTATTCATTTGTCCATCTGTTTATCCATCTATCTGTCTGACCATTCATCCATCCACCCACCTGTTTGTCAATTTGTCCATCCATCCATCCTCCTGTCCACCTGTCTGTCCCCCCTTCCATCCATTACGTGTTCTCTCTGTGCTGTCTGCTGACTCCGCCCTCATCTGCTGACCCTTCCTCCTCCCCATCTCTCTAGAAAGCTCCTCCTGTGGTCGGGTCCTGGCTCTAGGAGGCTGGTCCACCTTCTCTGCAGCAGCACTTCCCCATTGCTTCACCCATTACCCTTGGGGACTGACCCTTGAGGGGGGGCAGTGGCCAGCATTGGCAGGGGTCTCCAGCCCACCTTGGCCCTGGGAGAAGAGAGAGGCAGCCAGAAGGCCATGTCCCCTGGGGGGGCCCAGAAGGTGTCTAGACAAGAGCAGGGCCCCAGCTGCCCCCTTGTGGGGGCCCTGGAGCAGGTGCCCCACGGAAGTCACAGCCTGTCCTCCTGGGCTCCATCTCCCCAGGGTTCCCTCCTGCCCGGAGCTCCAAGCAGAAGCTATTGAGGGTCCCTGGGTGGAGGTGCTCTCTTCTGACCCCTCCCTCCGCCATACTGTCCATGGTTTGGGCCACACTTGGGCTCAGGAAGGGATGGGAGACTTGAATATGGAGGCCAAGCAGGGAGCAGGTGCCGGGCTTCTCCAGTGGGTCCCTGAGCTGTGCCCAGCTGGACACACAGTGGGGCCTGAGGCCAGGAGGGGCCTGGGGCAGTGGAGCTGGGCCTGGGGAACGTCTGGGTACTTGGGTGGGGACTCCCCTAGCCTTCTTGGAGCTGGGTCTGGGCTGTCAACTTCCTGCACCTGCAGGGCTAGGCGTGCATGTGCGTGCGTGCGTGTGCATGTGTGTGTGTGTGAGAGAGGGAACATGTGCATACATGAGAGCATGTGTGCGTGCAGAACGGTGGGGTGTGGGGAGGGGAGAGCTGTGCCCGGGGCAGGGGTGGCCCCTTTCTGTTCCGTCTGGGGCTCTCCAGTGCAGAGGATGGGGTGGGGCCCCTGGCGTCCAGCCCTCCCTGAGCCTCTCCTCCTCCAGCCCGGTCCTGGGCGAGCTTTGGTTCTTCCCTGGCTGGCAGGCTCCCCGCTCTGCCTGGCTCGTGCCTCCTGGCTGCCCCTAGAGGCAGCTTCCTGAACTACAAGTGACCGAGTCAGCCCTTCCCCCACGCCGGGACTTCCGTGGGGCCACCGCTCTCAGTACCCACCAGGCTGTGTCTGCTTCGCACAGTCAGCCCTAGCTCAGCCCTCACTGCTGTGCTCACACCCATGTGCACACACGCACACACACACACACACACACACATGCATGGCCATGAAGGCATGTCTAGCGCCAGGCTGAGGGGACGCGAGGCCTGGAGAAGGTTAGCGCTGTTGGTTTCCTCGTGGGACCTGCCCCCTCCCAGTGTGCACAGACCCCGAGGAGGACCACGGACAGACAGGCGGCCACAGGGACGTGCAGAGCTGCTTCAGGCGAGCATGGAGTTTATTCAAGGGCTGGGGTGGGGCACTCAGTAGCAGACGCCATCCACCTCCGACATGACCACGGATACGTTCACGTGGGTGGGTTTACCCGCCAGGCGGTCGATGGTCTTCTGGGTGAAGGCCAGGGGCAGGGCCTCGTGGCCCACCATGCAGGAGAAGGTGTCTCCCTGCTTCCAGACCTCAGCATCCACGCGTAGCACGCTGGTCACGGTGAAGGTGGCGACGGTCTGGCCAGGCTCAGGCAGGGGGTCCCAGGTCACATACTTCTCGCGGGGCAGCTCTTGATTCCCCTGCAGCCAGCGCACCAGCACGTCCTTGGGGCTGAATCCCCGCACCAGGCACGTCAGCGTCACCAGCTCGTTAAGGGCCAACTCCTCCGACGGCGGCGGCAGTAGGTGGACCTGAGGCCGGAACGTGTTCCCTGCAGGGCAGAGAGTGGGTCAGGGGTCTGCACGGGGAGGAGAGCGCCCCTTGTCCCCTGGGCCCCCCGTCCGTGCCTCAGTTTCCCTCTGTGAGGGGTGCGCAGGGCTGGAGAGGGAGGGGCAGGCTCGGGAGGGTGCCTCGCATGTGGAGTGCGCTGCCGCCCACGCGCGGTGGTCCAGGCCCACCTATGTTTTTCCTGATGGTGGCGGTCAGTGAGCTCTTGGACTCGGGGTGGGTGGCAGAGCAGGAGAAAGTCTGTCCGCTGTTCCAGGGATCGGCACAGCCCGGCAGGACGCTGGACACGCTGTAGCAGCCGCAGGAGTCGCGCTGGGGCGGCCCCAGGACGGCGGTCTTCCCACCTGTCGGGCTCCAGGTGAAGCTGGCACCCTCGGCGCTTCTCAGGCCGTGCAGTGTGCACGTGAGGCTGGCGTTGGAGCCCAGGAGCAGATCCTCGAGGGCGGGTGGGTGCAGGGACAGGCTGAGCTCGCAGCTCGGACACCACACAGTTGGAGCTGAAAGAGAGGCGGGGCAGGCCCGTGAGCCCTCTGCCTGCCCGCCCTGGCCTCCAGCTCCAGCCCGGGCCCCTCCTGGCACCCCCACTGGGGGCTCAACCCCCTCTTGTCTGCGCACAGCGCCCACAGGAGAATGGTCCACGCTGGGTTGGGCTGGGAGGACGGGGCCTCGCCGCAGCCTGCCCTCTGATCTTTACCTTTGCAGGGCACGGTCACAGTCTGGCTGGCTTTGGAGAGGTGCTGCACTTGGCAGATAACGGACGACTTCTCATTTGGGCACAGGCTGGCCGGCAAGGTGAGCTGGCTGCTCATGGTATACAGACTCCCGGTCAGCACGGCAGGGAAGTTCTTGACGGACACGTCATTGCCACTCTGGTTCCAGGTCACGTTCAAGGGCACCGATGGGAAGAAGCCCTGGACCAGGCAGCCGATGACCACCTGCCCGGCCGGGTCTTCATTCTCAAGGCTCAGCGGGAAGATGCTGGGGCTGGTTTCACCCACTGAAACACAGGGTGCACTGTGAGACAGCAGCCGTCTGCTGACCGGACCCCTGACAGCCCCACGAGGACAGGGCGATGCCCACCTCTCCTTTACACAGAGAGTGAGTGACTGGCCCAAGGTCACACAGCTTGCACGAGATGCCGCTGGGGTCAGCAGCGCCCACCTGAGTCCAGCTGAGCCATTTCTGAGCATGCCCCCCAGGAATCTGAGCATGTGGACCACACAAGCTCTTCAGACGGGGTCTCTGGGTCAGGCCACTCCTGGGTGGGAGTCCTGGCTGACACAGGGCTCTCCCTCTGACCAGCTGAGGCTGTGGGCACTGTAGGAGCCTCAGCTGCCCTCTGTGTGGTGGGCCCAGCTTGCCCTCCCCCAGGGTGTGGGGGATTGTGAGAAGTAGAGAGTGGGCTAAGCAGAGACAGCAGCCTGGGCTTGAAGCTGAGTCTGTGGGGGCTCCGTTTGGCTGTCCTGGGGCTCCAGTGGGGAGGGGGAAGCCTGCCTTCTGTGTCCCCCTCCCACTCCTTGGGTAGTGTCTCAGTCACACTGCCCCCCACCCTTGGCCCCGACGAAGTCCCCCACCCGTTCTTCTAAACCAGCAGTTGACTTCCATGGACTATGAGGGTTTTGAGGCTGGAAGCCCAGTAACAAATCAGTCCTTCAGGATGGCCCCTACAGAGGGTGTGGGCTACACCTGTGTTTCCATAGTCCCCTTCCTGTCAACAGGTGAAGGCAGAGGGGAGAGTCAGAGGTGCACCCTGGGGCTGCATGGCCCTTGTGTGCCCCCAGGAAACACAGGGTGCTATCTGGCTGGACACCTGGGCTCTGGGAGCGATCCCTGCTCAACCCATGCCTCCAGGTCAACTCAGGCACTAGCCCAGTCCACCCATGTTCAACCCAGCCCAGCCCAGCCTAGATCAGTCCGTTTCAACCCAGCTCAACCCAACTTGGCCCAGGTCAACTCAGTTAAAACCATTTCAACCCAATTCAGCCCAGCTTAGTACAGCCCAGTTAATCTCAGCTAAGCCAAGAAGAGCTCAGTTTAGACCAACTGAGAGGGTAACAGGCAGGAAGGCTAGGGGTTTCCAAACAGAGGAAATAGGCTGCAAGTGTCAGACATTTTTTATCTCTCTTAAGCGGCAGGAAGAAACAGACTGCAAGTGTCAGATTTTTTTCCCTTCTCTATACAAATTTAAAAAGAAGGTTTCTTCTAAAATTGTTGCCGTGACGACACCTGGTTCCACATGAACTTAACTTTTCTCAAACCTTGAGCTAACTAATGCATTTTTCTTATAGAAATGTTTTTCTTAAGCTATGTTAATGAACTATGTATTTACTCTGTACTCTGTCTTTCTTCAAGCCAGTTCCACCTAAAACTCAGAACCAACTTGACAAACCAGTATATTTTACCCATGCAAATATTCTCTTAAGCTATGTTAATGAGACCATGTATTTGCTTGGAAACCTGCCTTTCTTCAAGATTCATGCCAATCATTTTATGGCCTGAGTGACTCACTTTGTGCCAATGTTATCTCAAAATGCATTTTGTGGGTGAGGGGCCTGGTGCAAGTCTCTGAGTTTTGAGACATTTCCTATAAGCAACAGCCTCCTTATAGGCATATAACTTATTCCTAAAGACTAGCAAGGGGGCCCTCTTTCTGCCCCCTTCTGATGTCTATGTCAGAAGCTGTCTCTATCTCTTTTATACTTTAATAAATCTTTATCACACGAAAGCTCTGAGAGATCAAGCCTTGTCACTGGCCCTGGATTGAATTCCTCTACTCCGGAGGCCAAGAATCCCAGCATCAATCATGGCTCAGCAACAATCTTTCAAGCTGTCTAGTTCAGCCCACTTCAGCCTAGTTCAGCTCAGCTTACCTAGCTCAGCCCAGTTAAGTCCAGCTCAGTCCATTTTAGTCTAATTGAGCCCAGCTCTACCCAGTTCAGCTCAGCTTGCCTAGACCAGCTCAGTTCAGCCCAGTTTAGTCCAATTCAGCCTAGCTCAGCCCAGTTTATCCCCGTTCAGCCCAGCCTAGTTCAGCTCAGCCCACCTATCTCAGCCCAGCTCAGCTCAGTTCACCCAGCTAAACCCAGCTCAACTCATCTCAGGCCAATTCAGCCCAGTTCAGCCCAGCTCAGCTCATCTCAGCCCAGTTCAGCCCAGCCTAGCCCAGCTTAGCCCAGTTCAGCCTAGTTCAGCTCAGCCCACCTATCTCAGCCCATATCAGCCCAGTTCACCCAGCTCAGCCCAGCTCAGCTCATCTCAGCCCAGTTCAGCCCTGCTCAGCCCAACCTAGCCCAGCTCAGCCCAGCTCAGCTCATTTCAGCCCAGTTCAGCTCAGCTCAGCCAGTTCAGCCCAGTTCAGCCCAGCTCAGCCCAGCTTAGCCCAGTTCAGCCTAGTTCAGCTCAGCCCACCTATCTCAGCCCAGTTCAGCTCAGTTCACTCAGCTAAACCCAGCTCAACTCATCTCAGGCCAATTCAGCCCAGTTCAGCCCAGCTCAGCTCATCTCAGCCCAGTTCAGCCCAGCCTAGCCCAACTTAGCCCAGTTCAGCCTAGTTCAGCTCAGCCCAGCTATCTCAGCCCAGTTCAGCTCAGTTCACCCAGCTCAGTCCAGCTCAGGTCATCTCAGCCCACTTCAGCCCAGCTCAGCCCAACCTAGTCCAGCTCAGCCCAGTTCAGCCCATTTCAACTTAGCTCAGTTCAGCTCACCTAGCTCAGCCCAGTTCAGCCCAGCTCAGTCCATTTTAGCTTAATTGAACCCAGCTCAGGCTAGTTCAGCTCAGCTCTACCCAGTTCAGCTCAGCTTGCCTAGCCCAGCCCAGTTCAGCCCAGTTCAGTCCAGTTCCGTACAGCTCACCCAGCTCAGGCCAGCTCAACCCTGCTCAGCCCAGTCTAGGCCAGTTCAACCCAGTTCAGCCCATTTCAGCCCAGTTCAGCTCAGTTCATCCAGCTCAGCCCAGCTCAGCTCAGCTCAGCCCAATTCAGCTCAGCTCAACTCAGCCTGGTTCAGCCCAGCTCAGCCCAGCCTAGCCCAGCTCAGCCTAGCTCATCTAGCTCAGCCCAGTTCAGCCCAGCTCAGTCCATTTTAGCCTAATTGAACCCAGTTCAGCCTAGTTCAGCTCAGCTCTACCCAGTTCAGCTCAGCTTGCCTAGCCCAGCCCAGTTCAGTCCAGTTCAGCACAGCTCACCCAGCTCAGGCCAGCTCAACCCTGCTCAGCCCAGCCTAGGCCAGTTCAACCCAGTTCAGCCCAGTTCAGCCCAGTTCAGCTCAGTTCATCCAGCTCAGCCCAGCTCAGCCCAGCTCAGCTCATCTCAGCCCAGTTCAGCTCAGCTCAACTCAGCCTGGTTCAGCCCAGCTCAGCCCAGCCTAGCCCAGCTCAGCCCAACTCATCTAGCTCAGCCCAGTTCAGCCCAGCTCAGTCCATTTTAGCCTAATTGAACCCAGTTCAGCCTAGTTCAGCTCAGCTCTACCCAGTTCAGCTCAGCTTGCCTAGCCCAGCCCAGTTCAGTCCAGTTCAGCACAGCTCACCCAGCTCAGGCCAGCTCAACCCTGCTCAGCCCAGCCTAGGCCGTTCAACCCAGTTCAGCCCAGTTCAGCCCAGTTCAGCTCAGTTCATCCAGCTCAGCCCAGCTCAGCCCAGCTCAGCTCATCTCAGCCCAGTTCAGCTCAGCTCAACTCAGCCTGGTTCAGCCCAGCTCAGCCCAGCCTAGCCCAGCTCAGCCCAACTCATCTAGCTCAGCCCAGTTCAGCCCAGCTCAGTCCATTTTAGCCTAATTGAACCCAGTTCAGCCTAGTTCAGCTCAGCTCTACCCAGTTCAGCTCAGCTTGCCTAGCCCAGCCCAGTTCAGTCCAGTTCAGCCCAATCAAGCGCCGTTCACCCAGCTCACCTAGCTAACCCTGCTTAGCCCAGCCTAGGCCAGTTTAGCCCATTTCAGTCCAGTTCAGCTCAGTTCACCCAGCTCAGCCCAGCTCAGCCCAGTTCAGCTCAACTTGTCTAGCCCACCCCAGTTTAGTCCAGTTCTGCCCAGTGCAGCCCAGCTCACCCAACTCAGGCCGGCTCAACCCTGCTCAGCCCAGCCTAGGCTAATTCAGCCCAGTTCAGCCCATTTCAGCCCAGTTCAGCTCAGTTCACCCAGCTCAGCCCAGCTTAGCCCTGCTCAGCCCAGTTCAGCCTAGTTCAGCTCAGCTCACGTAGCTCAGCCCAGTTCAGCCCAGCTCAGTCCCATTTTAGCCTAATTGAGCCCAGCTGAGCCCAGTTCAGCTCAGCTCACCCAACTCAGCCCACCCAGTTCATCCCAGGCTAGCTCGACTCAGTCCAGTGCAGCCCAGTTCAGCCTAGTTCAGCTTAGCTCACCTAGCTCAGCCCAGTGCAGCCCAGTGCAACCCAGTTCAGCCTAGTTCAGTTCAGCTCACCTGGTTCAGTCCAGTTCAGCCCAACTCAGTCCATTTTAGCCTAATTGAGCCTAGCTCAGCCTAGCTCAGCTCAGCTCGCCTAGCCCAGCCCAGTTCAGCCCAGTCCAGCTCTCAGCTCCCAGCCCAGCTCAGCCTGCTATGCACAACATCCTGCTCTGTGTCTGGTGGGTGGCAGTCTGCCTTTCTTTTTGGAGCATGTCCTCTGTCCTCCCACTCCAGGAGGCCCTAGTATGCCCAGCTACAGAGGAGATGACCCTCAACAGCTTCTGGGACCCACCTGCTCATGACTGCCCAAGGGTTCAGTGCAGCTGGGAGGGGCCCTTGCCTTTTGGCCATGTGGCCCCACACTGCAGGTCCCTCTGCTCGCTTGCCCCAGAGGTGCCGGAGTGCGTGGAGGCCTAGGCCTTGTCAAGGCCCTCCTGATGGCTGTGTAGTCTCAGCAGACCCTGCCCCACTCTGGGCCATTTGGGCTCTTGGTGAGGCTGATGCTGTGAGGGGCAGGCTGGGATGGGCTGTGTGACCCCATAGATGGGGTCACTCACCCACTTCCTGTCCCGCCAGTTGTGGCCGCTTGCCTCCACGTCATGT